GGCCCCGTCGTGCCCCCCTCCCCCCCCCCCCGGCGTCTCTTTCGACACTGCTCCCTTGCCCGGGGGGGGGGCGATCTCCTCTCTGCCCCCCTCAAGAGACGAAGCCTCCTCAAGACAACCAACCCCCCCCACCAAACTCCCGTCCACCGCCTTTCTCCTCTTCGCCCGTTTCACACGAAGAATAAACATCGGCCGGGGGAAATGAGGCAAAAGCGACCACGACAACCCCAAATCCCCGCTCCCCCCTTCCCCGCCCCGCGACTCCAGAGGGAAGCCTGACCTCCTCGCTCTTCAGCACCTCCTTGAACTCCCGCTTAATCCTCTGCACCGCGATGTTGGCCATCTCCGCAGCGGGCTCCGCCAACCCCAGGCCGCCGCCGCCGCCGCCGCCGCCTCTGAGCCGGGCCGAGCTCCGCCACCCGTCGCCACCGCCACCGCGGCTCCCGCTTGGTTGATCCCCGGCCCTGCCAAAATGGCGCCTGCGCCGAGCATGCGCGCTGCGGCAACCGGGAGCCTGCCTCTTCCTTCCCGTCAGAGAAAGGATTTAAATAAATAAATAGAGGAGAGGGAAGGGGAGGGGGGAAAGTTTCTTCGTATCGCTTCAGGGAAACCGGCGGCGGGAGGTGGGGACGGGATCGGGAAGGGCAGACGGGGAGAAGAGCGCGCGGAGGCGGCAACGGTTGCGGCCGGCCGCGGCCCTCTGAAGCCCTCTGAGGAGAAGGGGCTGGCGCCGGTTTCACCCCCTCACATCTGGGGGGGGGGGAGGTGGGAGCCCTTCCCCACCCCTCGGGACGGGTCGCCCCTTTCCCTTCCCCTCCGAAGGACTGACTGACTGCGGCACGGCTGCCTGTCCTCTTTCTCCCCGTGTGTGGCCGCAGTTTGTTCTTAAAAACATGGAGGGAGCAACCTGAGTTAGGGGTGCCCGTAAATGCCGCGGCACACACACGGCGGGGGGAGGGCGGGCTAGCCGTCATCGGCGGCGTCGGTTGTGATGCAAGCCTGCCCTATTGTGTGATGTGTCACACACACACACAACACACTCCTGTCTGGCCCTGGCAACGCACACACGCAGCCCTCACGCTTAGTTTGACAAGGTGGCTCACGCAGCCCCGCTTTATTCCCGCCCGAGGGCAACAGACGCCTCTTTGGGGCGGGCTTGGGTGGTGCTGCGAAAGGCTGCCGGCTTCGCAACTTCGGTATTGCAAAAAGAGGGGTGTTTTCTTCCTCTTCTTCTGCTTCTTCCAATTTACCCAGGAAATAAACTCTCACCCAGCCCGGATGGAGAGGGATGGGACGCTTTCCAAAATGGCCTCGGGACGCCGCGGAGGAAACGGGGAGAAGACGGAGCCCTCCGTGACCCGTCGCTCTTCTCGGGCGAAAAGGTCTTGGTTTAGGTAGTGAGACGGCTTTCAACACTTTTTCTGTGCATCCGGCACTTCTTGTTCTTTTTTTTGTTTTGTTTTCTGAAAGGGCAGTAAAAAAATTTGCCCCCCCCCCCCCCCAGTCTACAAGTGGCTTTTGAGAATCCCATGAAATAACATTACAGATGAAAAATCCTTATGGGAGGCACACTTTTTTTTAAAAAAATCATCTTTATTAATTTTAAATTAATGTATAATACGGCATAATACAGTGCATCCATCTGCAAGAATGTCATCTAAATGGAAAAAGTTGAAACCTACAAGGTTAACCACTTCAGATAAAGAGGGTTAGGGGGGAGAATATCTAGGATCTGTAAGTAGGAGACTACAGGGAACCAAGTTGACACAAATGTGGAGTGGTGTGGGGTATCTGATTGTGCACACCTGAGCGAATCAGCAATTTTTGCCATGACAAGGTGTTCCCATACCTTGTCCTGCCAGTCTGTCACTGATGGTGCAGCTGGAGATTTCCAGTTTGCAGCAATAGCCAGGCGGGCTATTGCTACCATGTTTCCCCGAAAATAAGACACTGTCTTATATTTATTTTTTCTCAAGAAGACACACTAGGGCTTATACCACAAATGCATAGAAATCCTGCTAGGGCTTATTTTTTGGGTAGGTCTTTTTTCGGGGAAACAGGGTAATAGAGTTGATGTGAGTTCTTTTTTATGATCTTGAATAGAATCATCCCAGTGGTTTAACAGAAAGGATTCAGGCGAGAGAGACAGATTTTGAAGAATGCTGTGTTTTGTCCAGCAGAAGTGGCTAGATTGGCATGGCCTTCTAAGGGGCTCCTGCATCATTACTGCAGTGCAATCCCATGCAGAGTTACTCTAGTCTAAGTCTGTTGGTTTCAGGTCTGTCTTGGGAAAGCGGCTTGTACAAGAGAGTCTCTCTTGGATGATTTCCCAAGTCCCATATACATAAAACTATCACTTGGAATACACTGCTGGAATTCAGAAGTCACAGACTTTTGACACCGAGCTCCTGCACTGAGTATAATTAAAATGTGATTCACTACATCAGCTGTAAACAAGTTCCGGGTACCGCTGACCTTAAGGTGTTTTGTATGTTTTGACCGTCATTCATCCACCCAGATGCTGAGCCACATTCCAAGTTGCCCCCAAAGCTGCATCCGGTCTACTTGGTAGGGCTTAGATAAGCGACCTAATTGGAACGAGGAAGCACATTCAAAGTCACATCCACAGCACATGCTGTATGCTATTTATTTATTTAATTATTTAATTGTATTTATACCCCGCCCTCCCCGCAAACGGGCTCTTCTGCTGGATTAGGGCATTTGTTTTATAGGACACCTTGAGCACTCCAAAGTGTATAGTCAGTAACAGTACAGTACAATCTACCTTTAATTATCTGCTGATGTTTGCCTAGAAATTACCTGCTGTAATGAATCATAGAATCACAGAACCATAGAATCACTGAGTTGGGAGGGCCCATACAGGCCATCTAGTCCAACCCTGCTCAGTGCAGGATCAGCCTAGAACAGTGGTGGCGAACCTATGGCACAGGTGCCAGAGGTGGCACCCAGAGCCATCTCTGTGGGCACGCGCGCCATCGCCCCAGCCGGGCCCAGACCCTCATTAAAGTGTCGAATTCTCTGCCAAATAATTTTAAGTAAATGAAAGCATTTGGGATTGCTTTCCTTACTTTGTTTGGATCGTCTTAAGTTAATGTCGGAGTTGTTTTTTCTAAAATAAAACCTCAGTATTCAGGTTAAATTGCCGTGTTGGCACTTTGCGATAAATAAGTGGGTTTTGGGTCGCAGTTTGGGCACTCTGTCTTTAAAAGGTTCGCCATCACTGGCCTAGAACATCCCTGGCAAGTGTTCCTCCAGCTGCTTCTTAAAGACTGCCAGTGAGGGGGAGCTCACCGCCTTCCTAGGCAGCTAGTTCCACTGTTGCACAACTCTGACTGTAAAAAAGGTTTTTCCTAATATCCAGCCGGTACCTTCCCGCCCTTAATTTAAACCCATTCTTGCAAGTCCTATCCTCTGCTGCCAACAGGAACAGCTCTCTGCCCTCCTACATATCTATCTGCCATATCTACATGTATCCTGATTGTGTGGCCCAACCTACACTTTGATTGTGATGTCAGGTTTTTTTTGCCACTGTCAGGTTGCATCCCCAGTGTGTAACGACCCCGTAGGATTTTCTCCCCCCCCCAAAGGGGGATTTTTATTGCTTTTTCTATAAACTACAAACTACAACGAAAAAATAGGGAGGGAACATCTACATCTAAGGAGAAAGGAAAGAAAACCACTAATAGCTAAAACCCCAAGTATAGGAGATCATTACATCAGCTTATATAAATGTTAGTCTAAAATGCTTGCATTACATTGAACATAGTCGATTAAGCTAAATTATCTATCTTTTTAACCATTTTTGTTTAAAGACAACCCCCAGAGCATCATTTATGTCACATGCTCTAAGGCATCATTCAGAGTCCTTGAGCCTTCACTTTGCTTTATCTTTTCTAATCCTCAATTGGTATTCTCGTTTAGGGGCAGCCGCCCCCTTTTCTGAAGCAGAATCCTCGCCGGAAGACACAGAGTCCAATTCACCACTAGATTTGCTGTCATCTTCTTCTTTAGCGTCCTCAACTGGTTCTCCCAGTTGCAGTCTCAGGAACTCACGTGCTTTGGAATCAGAGTCAATTTTTTCTTTTTTTGTCCTGCAGTTTGAAAATGACGCATTCAGGGGTTAACCATCTGTAGGGAATGCTGTTTGTTTGTAAAAAAAAAAAAGGATTCAGTCTTTATACTTCTTCTTCCTTATTTCAAATGGTATGTCTTTTAAAATCCTGATAGTGGTGCCTCCGATTTTCAGGGGTGTTCCTGTAGTTGCTTTCAGGATGGAATCCCTCACGTGTCTCTTCAAGAATCTAACCACTATCTCACCAGGCAGATTATTTTTCTTGATGTAAACGGAATAGGCCCTATAGACCACATCCATTTCGCTTATAAGACCCTGTATTTTCAAGGCCAGAGACATTCAGAGGTTGTTTGCCATTGCCTGCCTCTGCACAGCAACCCTAACCAAGGCTGACCCCACTTAGCTCCCCAGATGAGATTAGGCTAACCTGGGCTATCAAGGTCAGGGTGTGATCACACTAAGGCAGTTTTTTTCTTTATTTCAGAATCATGTTGAACCACACAGTAATTTAGGAATAGGTTTACAACTGCAAAAGAAAACATGAATGGTTATCTTTCCTGAGTCAGATTCTGACAAGAATGCACAGGTACTTTAAGTACGTTGTGGTTTTCATCTACTCACAATACAGTCCTAAACAGAGTTATACATTGACTTCAACGTATGTAGAAGGATGTAACTCTTCTTAGGACTGCATTGTTGGTACCCTTTCCTAGTTCTCTTACTTGAAGAAAAAGAAGCATTATTCCGGTATCGTAGAATAGCACCAAAATTATACATGGCTTCCAAACTTCTAGGGATCCAATTCCATACCAAATATGCCTGCTTCATCCCCTTTATTACATTGGGACCAAATGCATCAAACTACCCAGAACTGCCGCTATATAATGCAGAGTCCTGTCCAGCTTTAAAGGCAGTCATGCCATTTAATGAATGCACATGGGAAAAGCTTGTGTGTGTGTGTGTGTGTGTGTGTGTGTGTGTGTGTGTGTGTAAAGTGCCCTGAAGTCACAGCTGAATTATGGTGACCACCGTAGGGTTTTCAAGGCAAGAGACAAAGAAAGGTGGTTTGCCATTGCCTGGCTCTGCATAGCAACCCTAGACTTCCTTGGTGGTCTCCCATCTAAGTCCTAACCAGGGCTGATTCTACTTAGTTTCCAAGAACTGACAAGACCGGTCAAGCCTGGGCCATCCAAGTCAGATCCCTACCACCACATATCTCCTTGTCATATTACTCTCATTCTGCTGCTTTTTAATGATATTAGGTTTTTCCAGACTGTCTTGTCGCTGTTCCAAGTAATGTCTGCAACTTATTATTTAACCATAACCTTATAAAACTGAGCCAATTATGTTGCTCACAACCTCTCTGTCCTGAAATGCATCTCTGTCATATTAGCAGTTGTTCACTTCAGATAATGAGTTACAG